TCTTGATCTTACATAGATATGTCTACTTGATGTCCGACTTCGATTGGAAATATACTTGTCGCCCAGTCATACATTCTTTTTCATATGCATATCTCTTACATTACTTACGTCTTGATCTTTACATAGATATGTCTACTTGATGTCCGACTTCGATTGGAAATATACTTGTCACCCATCATACATTCTTTTTTCATATGCATACCTCTTACATTACTTACGTCTTGATCTTACATAGATATGTCTACTTGATGTCCGACATCGATTGGAAATATACTTGTCATGCCTTACATTCTTTCATATGCATTCTACATTACTTACGTCTTGATCTTAGTCATACATTCTTTTTCATATGCATATCTTATATCTTATTATGTCTTTGATGTCGACTCTTTTTCGCCCAGTCATACATATACCTCTTACATTACTTACGTCTGTCTTACATAGATATGTCTACTTGATGTCGATTTCGAAATATACTTGTCGCCCAGTTATACATTCTTTTCATATGCATACCTCTTTACATTACTTACGTCGCCTTGATCTTTTCATAGATATGTCGTCTTGACTTGATGTCCGATTTCGATTGAAATATACTTGTCACCCAGTCATACATTCTTTTCATATGCATAACGTCTTGATCTTACATAGATATGTCTACTTGATGTCCGACTTCGATTGGAAATATACTTGTCACCAAGTCATACATTCTTTTTCATATGCATATCTTACATTACTTACGTCTTGATCTTTCTTTTCAGATAGATATGTCTACTTGATGTCTGACTTCGATTGGTCAAAGTCATACTTTCTTTTTCATATGCATATCTCATACATTACTTACGTCATCTTACGCATTGTCTTTTCATATGCATAATCTTACATAGATATGTCTACTTGATGTCCGACTTCGATTGGAAATATACTTGTCGCCCATCATACATTCTTTTTCATATGCATACCTCTTACATTACTTACGTCTTGATCTTACATAGATATGTCTACTTGATGTCCGACTTCGATTGGAAATATACTTGTCATATACATTCTTTTTCATATGCATATCTCTTACATTACTTACGTCTTGATCTTACATAGATATGTCTATTCTTTTATACTTGTCATATGCATATCTCTTACATTACTTACGTCTTGATCTTACATAGATATGTCTACTTGATGTCCGACTTCGATTGGAAATATACTTGTCGCCCAGTCATACATTCTTTTTTTTCATATGCATATCTCTTACATTACTTACGTCTTGATCTTACATAGATATGTCTACTTGATGTCCGACTTTTGGAAATACTTGTCCTTGATCCGATACATTCTTTTCATATGCATATCTCTTACATTACTTACGTCTTGATCTTACATAGATATGTCTACTTGATGTCCGACTTCGATTGGAAATATACTTGTCGCCAAGTCATACATTCTTTTCATATGCATACCTCTTACATTACTTACGTCTTGATCTTATAGATATGTCTTGATGTCCGACATCGATTGATGTCCGATACATTCGCATTCTCACATTACTTACGATCTTAATAGATATGTCTTTTTGATGTCCATACTTGTCCCCAGTCATACATTCTTTTTCATATGCATACCTCTATTACTTACGTCTTGATATTGATGTCCGACTTCGATTGGAAATATACTTGTCGCCCAGGCATACATTCTTTTTTTCATATGCATACCTCTTACATTACTTACGTCTTGATCTTAGATAGATATGTCTACTTGATGTCCGACTTCGATTGGAAATATACTTGTCTTGTCACATTTATCTTTTTCATATGCCCTACTTGATGTCCGACTTCTTGGAAATATACTTGTCATGATCATACATTCTTTTTCATATGCATATTCTCTCTTACATTACTTATGTCTTGATCTTACATAGATATGTCTACTTGATGTCTGACTTCGATTGGAAATATACTTGTCCTTGATCATACATTCTTTTTCATATGCATACCTCTTGCATTACTTACGTCTTGATCTTACATAGATATGTCTACTTGATGTCCGACTTCGATTGGAAATATACTTGTCATGCATCTTGACATTCTTTTTCATCGATTGAATTACTTGTCGCCCAGTCATACATTCTTTTTTCATATGCATATCTCTTACATTACTTACGTCTTGATCTTACATAGATATGTCTACTTGATGTCCGACTTCGATTGGAAATATACTTGTCGCCCATCATACATTCTTTTCATATGCATACCTCTTACATTACTTACGTCTTGATCTTACATAGATATGTCTACTTGATGTCCGATTTCGATTGGAAATATACTTGTCATTCATACATTCTTTTCATATGCATACCTCTTACATTACTTACGTCTTGATCTTACATAGATATGTCTACTTGATGTCCGACTTCGATTGGAAATATACTTGTCGCCCAGTCATACATTCTTTTCATATACATACCTCTTACATTACTTACGTCTTGATCTTACATAGATATGTCTACTTGATGTCCGACTTCGATTGGAAATATACTTGTCATGATCATACATTCTTTTTCATATGCATACCTCTTACATTACTTACGTCTTGATCTTACATAGATATGTCTACTTGATGTCCGACTTCGATTGGAAATATACTTGTCGCCCAGTCATCTTACATTCTTTTCATATGCATACCTCTTATTACTTACGTCTTGATCTTACATTCTACTTGATGTCCGATTTCATTGGAAATATACTTGTCGCCCAGTCATACATTCTTTTCATATGCATATCTCATACTTTACATTACTTGATCTTACATAGATATGTCTACTTGATGTCTGACTTCGATTGGAAATATACTTGTCGCCCAGTCATACATTCTTTTTCATATGCATACCTCTTACATTACTTACGTCTTGATCTTACATAGATATGTCTACTTGATGTCCGACTTCGATTGGAAATATACTTGTCCTTGATCATACATTCTTTTTCATGTGCATAACTCTTTACATTACTTACGTCTTGATCTTACATAGATATGTCTACTTGATGTCCGATTTCGATTGGAAATATACTTGTCGCCCATCATACATTCTTTTTTATGCATACCTCTTACATTACTTACGTCTTGATCTTACATAGATATGTCTACTTGATGTCCGATTTCGATTGGAAATATACTTGTCCCCAGTCATACATTCTTTTCATATGATATGTCTTGATCTTACATAGATATGTCTACTTGATGTCCGACTTCGATTGGAAATATACTTGTCGCCCAGTCATACATTCTTTTTCATATGCATATCTCTTACATTATTTTACGTCTTGATCTTACATAGATATGTCTACTGATGTCTTACATTCGATTGGATATGTCTGCTTGTCGCCCAGTCTTACATTCTTTTTTCATATGCATACCTCTTACATTACTTACGTCTTGATCTTACATAGATATGTCTACTTGATGTCCGACTTCGAGTGGAAATATACTTGTCGCCCAGTCATACATTCTTTTTCATATGCATAACTCTTACATTACTTACGTCTTGATCTTAGTAGATATGTCTTGTCCGACTTCGATTGGAAATATACTTGTCGCCTTCAGTCATACATTCTTTTTCATATGCATACATCTTTTTCATTACTTACGTCTTGATCTTACATAGATATGTCTACTTGATGTCCGACTTCGATTGGAAATATACTTGTCGCCCAGTCATACATTCTTTTTCATATGCATACCTCTTACATTACTTACGTCTTGATCTTACATAGATATGTCTACTTGATGTCTGACTTCGATTGGAAATATACTTGTCGCCCAGTCATACATTCTTTTTCATATGCATACCTCTTACATTACTTACGTCTTGATCTTACATAGATATGTCTACTTGATGTCTGACTTCGATTGGAAATATACTTGTCGCCCAGTCATACATTCTTTTTCATATGCATACCTCTTACATTACTTACGTCTTGATCTTACATAGATATGTCTACTTGATGTCCGACTTCGATTGGAAATATACTTGTCACCCAGTCATACATTCTTTTTCATATGCATATCTCTTACATTACTTACGTCTTGATCTTACATAGATATGTCTACTTGATGTCTGACTTCGATTGGAAATATACTTGTCGCCCAATACATTCTTTTTCATATGCATACCTCTTACATTACTTACGTCTTGATCTTACATAGATATGTCTTTTGTCCTTCGATTGGAAATATACTTGTCGCCCAGTCATACATTCTTTTTCATATGCATACCTCTTACATTACTTACGTCTTGATCTTACATAGATATGTCTACTTGATTTTACTTGTCGCCCACTTCGATTGGAAATATACTTGTCGCCCAGTCATACATTCTTTTCATATGCATACTTTCATTACATTACTTACGTCTTGATCTTTACATAGATATGTCTACTTGATGTCTGACTTCGATTGGAAATATACTTGTCGCCCAGTCATACATTCTTTTTCATATGCATACCTCTTACATTACTTACGTCTTGATCTTACATAGATATGTCTACTTGATGTCTGACTTCGATTGGAAATATACTTGTCGCCCAGTCATACATTCTTTTTCATATGCATACCTCTTACATTACTTACGTCTTGATCTTACATAGATATGTCTACTTGATGTCCGACATCGATTGGAAATATACTTGTCGCCCAGTCATACATTCTTTTCATATGCATATCTCATATTACTTACGTCTTGATCTTACATAGATATGTCTACTTTGATGTCCGACTTCGATTGGAAATATACTTGTCGTCATACATTCTTTTTCATATGCATATCTCATACATTACTTACGTCTTGATCTTACATCGACATGCATACTTGATGTTTCCTTCACAAAGAATCGTTAATTCAACTATGTAAATCAACATCGTTCAATGAAGAAGTTACTTTTTCGAGAATTAATCTCTTTATCAAGATATCCGGTTATTGATTTTTATCGTTATCGATTTTTAATCCACAGATGCAAGAGCTGAATAATTGGTTTTTACAGCTGATCACAAACAGTGACTTCCTGGCTGCAACCCAATTACATGGCAAATCGTCTCTCAGCATGGCGAAAACGACAATGCTAATGTTTAAGAAATTAAGGGAAGGCTGTAAAGATAAGGAAAAGGGACTGAAACAGCGTGACATAATCGACCTGGCTGTGCTTCAATACCCTCAAGCGGAAACCGAAACGTTTCTCCTGCATCGCGTTCGTCTCTTCGGTTGGGTCGATTGCAAGACTTCGAATAGAAATGGTGGAATCACTGGTGAGTATACGAAACGCGAGTTTACGTCACGTTACACCATAATCTCGGAGCTCTCGCCCACCAGCAGAGAGAAAGCGCTATCCTACATTACCAAGGTTTTTGACAGCATTGGATCCGAGACAGAAACTCCGACGGCAGATACAACGACTAAATCCGCAGCCAGCTCCGAAAAATCATCTATTCTCATGTCATCAACAGCAGCAGCCATCACGACTGCAGCCACAATTCCAAAAAATCCCGATGATGATGACGACGACGATGTATGTTAATATGGCGGCGAAAGCGTCTCCGAGATGAGGTGAAAAATTAAATGCTATTTCTTAATAAAATAGATTTTATGTAACTGCAAAGTATTCGTTTTTCTTTCTATTCATTTGTTGTTGAGAAATTAGTTTATCTACAGGATGAGTATGTAAAATAGCGTATATAAGTTCAAGGGTCTGGGTAATTCTGTCTATATATCTATAACACGCACGTATATAAACATACATATATACACACACACGCATATATATATTTTTTTACACGTATATACATATATATATATACACGTATATATATATATATATATATATATATATATATATATATATATATATATATATATATATATATATATATATATATATACGTGTATATATATATATACTTTATTTTAGGATATTACGTCGAAAACATATCAAAATCGCTACACAATTGCAGTCGTGTTTCATCAGGCGATTGCAAATTACTGGTAAGTGAACAATTTATTCTGATTTAATAGCAAAAATACAGCCGCTTTTTACGAGAAAAGAATGGGTTATAAGGTTTGTGGGCTTTTACTCTGATCAACCAATAAATATGACCTACTTTAAATTTAACGTCCATCTTACCTGGATACCTATATATATATATATATATATATATATATATATATATATATATATATATATATATATATATATATATGTTCATTTAATACTTTTACAACGTTTGAGGCAGGTTTCTCGCATCATAACAAGGATAAACGTCCATATAAACATATATCCGCAAATCTTTAGATTTATTTAAGTTAAAAGTTTACGGTAGACGCTGTTAAATGTACAATCCAAGATACAATCCAAGATACAATCCAAGATACAATCCAAAAATAATTTAGCAAAATTTGGGGGCGGGGGTTCCTGATACCAAAACAAGGTAAAATATATCATGTAAACATATGTCCAAAAGGCCATGATTGTACCTCAACACAACAACTCATAACACATGTTCAGAATGTCCTCCGCTTGCTTCTTCACCCGCTTGCACCCGTCGGATCACTGACTGGCGGGCCCTTTCAAATACCCAAACACGGTGTTTTAGGTGGTGCTACAGAAAAAAAAATCCAAAGTACTGAGGTCGGGGCAATGTGCAGTCTATGGAACCGGTCTTCCCCTACGTATTCATCTTTCATGGTAGGTGTCAGCCAGTGCATCGCGAACGACGTGGTTAAAATGTGCTTGAGTCTCATCATGCATGAATCACATGCGGCTTCGTATTAGCAGGGATACATCCTCTAGCAGGTCTGGAAGTATGTTCGAAATAAAGTCCTCGTAGACAGCTCTGTAAGACATGCTGCAAGAACTTATGGACCTACCAGTCATCTACAATTCCAGCCCACATATTAATCGTAAACTGATGTTGGTGTCTAGCCTGTATTGCACCATGGGGATTGCAATCCGCACACAAATGCTGGTTGGGCAAATTTGTTATTTCATCTCTTCCAAATGTTGCCTCATCCGTAAACAAGACTGAAGAGACAAACAATGGTTCCGCAGTTTGGGAAATAAACCATCAGCAAAAGTTCTCTTCTGGTGAGTGATTAGAGGGCAAAAGTTCCTGCACACGTTGCAAATGATATGGATGCAGGAGCTGCTCTTGAAGTACCCTTCATGCAGTACTCTGAGATGCAAAGGCCACTTGACGTGTTCTAATACCTGGATGGTCTCCGACAGCCTGTAGTATGTGTTCTTCGAGGTCAGGCATACGAGCGGATCTTGGTCTTCTTCGATCCCTAGTTTGTGGTGTCACGGATGCTGTCTTAGCAACGTTACGATATACATTAGCAAAGATGACAGGGCTGCCTTCGCTCTGTCTGGCAACGCGTTCTGATAGATCCGTGCAGCCTTGAGTCCGTTACCATTCGCTCGGCCGTATGTAAAAATCATATCTGCCTGTTCACAATATAAATATCCTGCCATTATTGAAAGGAACACATCTCAGTTAACTAATTACTACACGCGTTAAACGTTGAAGACAGACGAGCCACAGATGTACACGAATGACAAATGTAACCTAGTCTGTACATGGCAACACAACATCATCTATTGTAAACTGTTCATTAAAATTAATAACTCTAAAACGAAGAATTTGCGGACATATATTTATATGAACTTTTATTCTTCTTTTGATGTGAGGAACCCGCCCCAAATCTTTGTAAAAGGAAACTTAATACACCATATATATATATATATATATATATATATATATATATATATATATATATATATATATATATATGTAGACATATATATATATGTGGACATGCAATCCCCTAATTATGCAAGTTTTATTGAAGATGACTGACAAGGTACTGTGATTAAGGATTTTATTCAAATTTTCTTGCATTCATACAAACCTTTTTTTCTGGACATAAAGTATGTAAAAATCAACCAAATGTTCTATATACATCCGAGAGCTTCCGGTTCTTCTACTAGGCATTCTTGGCTTTGTTGAAGATTGTTTCACTGGAAGAATTGGCAGAAATCCTTCGTTTAATTGATTGTGGTATCTGGTTGATTATGGATGGCGGATGTGTATGTATATACACACATCATGAAAACCGGGAGAAAATGGAGATCAGATGAACTGATGGCAACTATTGAGGTGACTTACATTTCGCGCATCTCGCCAGACTGTCACATAACGTATTTTTGTATCCTTTAACGTGTGCCTAAATTATAGTTGAATCAAGGGCAGATCATTAAGCTTTGAAAATTTCCATTCTTAAATAGAGGAGTTAAGGCAAATTTAGATACCTGCAGTTTAAGACACAGTTTAAGCGGCTCAAAAAGTCTATAGTCCGACTAGTAATAGGTATGTTTATCTATTACTAGGTGGACTTTGATCTCAATACGAGACATGAATTCCACGAAAAATAGCGAATATTTTACAAAAACGCAAATGTACCACCAAGGTTATATTATCAATTATCTTCGTCATTAGACCGAACTTGGTCTTAGCAAGAGATATTTATAAGATGCCGGAATTAAAGATTTTACAAGAACACAGATGACGAACTATTTTAGTTAAATGTTCACTCAATAAAAGAGTCAAGGATTACTGATTTAGATATAGATGTAAGAGGAGGTAAGTGTGGATAATTGAGGAAGGATGTATTACACAAATCTTCAAAATTGGAAAGACTTTCCTGCTTTGGAAATCAGCGTTCGAAAATCTTTTCTTTAACTAGGATCTGAATAATAAATATAATTACCCTTTTGAAGTATGCAATTATCTCAACGATTGAGCTGGTCGTATCTGCTCACGAAACCTACCTTAACGTAAACATTGACAACATATTATGAAATGGATAATAATCTGCCGGAGAAGCATATATATATATATATATATATATATATATATATATATATATATATATATATATATATAAGGGAAGATTTTATAGTTGTTCCAATGAGGGAAACCGAAAAGGTCTTTGGTTGTAATGTGGATTTTTGTTTTTAAATATTTTAAATATATGTTATATAATATAATATTATTTTTGATAATTTTGCTAAAAGTGTTTCCGGTCTCGCGACCTTCATCAGGCAAAGAGTGGATATTTTCACATATTATTAAAAAAAATTAATTTTTCTTATGTTTTTTGATGGTAAATGTGAATATCTTTTCTGTGTGTTCGTGAAAAAAAGCCTTCCTTGAAGACATTTGGGTCACAAACACACAAAAAAGAGAATGTCAAATATCGAGAATGTTTAACATGGAAAAACATAAGAAAAATTAATTTCTAGTTACAGAGGAAGCCTCTGCTTAGCATGATATGAGCGTTTTGAGGGAAATCATTGAATGTTTGTAGCTTAAAAACTGTAATTTAACCTTGATAAACAGGTAAACTTTCTCTCTCTCTCTCTCTCTCTCTATATATATATATATATATATATATTTCCGTTACTACCATATCTATATAACCGTATTATCTATCTCCCAGTGTCTTCATTATCTATCTATCTATCTATCTATCTATCTATCTATCTATCATATATTCTATGCCATTATACTTCGAAATCTCTCCTTAACTAAGTCTCTTGATATTTCTGGTTATAAATTAATCTGTATATAAATATGTATATCTTTACATCTATCAGTCAGTTTATTTCTCTTTCTATTTTTTTGTTAAGTAGCCAATACATTTTTCTTCTCTTCATATAATCTTTCAGGTAATTTGACGCTAATATTAGTTTTTAGTTTCGGTTAAGGTTTTCAAATTTCGAATCATGTTCCACATATCGATGTTTTATCCAGTTTGTTTTCTTTACTTGTTCGCCACACCGAATGGTTTATTTTGGCTCTGACAATTCCTTTCCGCGCGATGTCTGAAGGCAGGATACTTTAAACAGATCTTGCAGAAATTGAATTCTTTGAATTTTGTCATAAAAATAAATTGGCATTTGCCGTAGAGAACGCTTGTAAAAATTGCTTTTCTATAAACATATTTTTCTTACCAACATCTTACCCATTCTCACCCATATTTTTCTTACCCACATCCTAATTTACTTGTACATTGTGCTAGTAAATAAGTGTGTATATAAATAGAGGTTATTATTTTACACGAATTGGTTATTTATTAGGAGGGACGGTGAATAGCGCCTTGGACTGAGGAATCGGTGAACCGAATTCGAATTCCAGTCGAATCCCTTACATTTACTTACGTGCTAATACCCTTGGGAAAAGTATGCATCCTCTTCTTCTCTGGATAAATAGCAAGACAGACCGTCTTCTCTAGCCTTGGATGCCAACTGGTCCAAAGAAATGGCGGGAAAAAATCTGCCTCGTTAGTCATGTATCATAATGTATCGAAAGATGCATGATCGCTTAAGCGTGTATCACGCATGGCACATAAATGATTGAGTTATTTATTAAGAATAAATTCATTGGTTATTGCTCCATTTACTTTTGTGTGCCAAAGTTCTGAGCGTTCTTTTTGAGACGAAATGCTCAGGGAAAAAGTTCGCTGTATCCAAATTGCATTTAACCTGTTTTCTATTAACAAGAAGGAAAAATACACGTGCAACACTCCATAGTGAGCAGTTCCAATTTCTGTGAAGCTAAGAAGATGATTGATAAAGACTCTGGATATTATTCGATTGGAAGCATTATGTACCGTGAAGTCTTTGCGAAGACTTCATATTTTTCTTTTTTTAATCAAGGTAACAAATCCACTAGGACGCAAGGACCTACTGGGTGTTAGAGAAAATGAGAAAAAACTACTATTAAGGAGAGAAGATAATAAAGAAAAACAAGAATTAAGAAGTCAGAAGATAACGAACGACATTGCATTTAAATTAAAATTGACTGGGAAGTAATAATTTGGAAGAGAGTTCCACAGACAAGAAGTGTGAGAAAAGAAACTTGCAGTTACATCTACATATTTCTACTGTAAAATCATGTCGCCAATCTTGTACTGCGCTTAAATTAATAAAATCTACTTAATATATCGGAAAAGTTCATCAGAACAATTGCCATGAAAGTATTTATAGAAAAGGCACATTGAAGTTATATTACGGCGTTAGGAAAGGGACTGAAGTCAAGATGCCAGGTCAGAACCAATAACATTGCAGATTCTTCTTTTTGAGAATCTCTAAATATATAGCAGGGGAACCAGACCAGATGTGACAGCAATATTCAAAGCAAGGACGAATGGTGGACTTATAAGTATATAAGATAGATTCTGGCGAAGAAAATTATTAGAAAGACATAGCGAATCATCTTTCTATGGTACACACTTAGCGATTGATTCAATATTTCTCTTTCCACGCTTGTTGGAAATCCTCTTCTGTAGTTCCAATCTTTAAGTGTTGTAACCAAGTAAGTGTAAAACAAGTAAACAAATAAATGTTAGTTAAAAAATATGTGGAAGGTTAGCTTCAGCCATACTGATGCAAGGTAAAAAGTTGTGTCTCAGATGATTAAAAGAGATTAGTTTCGTTTTTGAGGCGGTGAAGTTAACAAGCCACGCTTTGTCCTATTTAACAATAAATTGTAGGTCATTTTTTAAATCAGCTGCCAATTTGACCTTATCGAACCGATCAGACTTATTATTAAGACAGGAGCAAATAGTTGTGCCATCAGCGTAGATGTCGAGTTGAGAACTGATGACACAAGGAAGGTCATCTACGAGAATTAAAACAACGTAGGTCCAATGATAGAGCCTTGGGGAACACCTGCATTTATGCAAAAAGATCTATAAGAGTGGCCATTCAAGACAACTTTCATTTCACGATTTGATTAGAAGAAGTCTGAATCAGTTCAAAAATTCGTCCCATTCTTGATAGAATCTTTCAACAATAATCGTTAAATCATCAGCAGTTAATCATCCACAAATGTCCTCAACGACCCATAGCACAGTGGATAAAAGTGTTAGTTAGATCCAGTGTCAGGACCCAAAGAGTGTGAGTTCAATACCTGGTTAAGGCAGTGGAGAACTTGGAGAGGGGAATTAACATGAGATAACTGATGACTGACATCCATTAGACATGGCACGTGGTACTAGAACAGTCTACCCCAGCGAGCGATATAAAGGGTTCAGTTCGACATTCCAACCACCTGAAGAAGACCGGAGCGTACAACGGTCGAAACGTTGTGATAATATGGCAACAAAGATGAGGACGATAATCCGAACAAGGTAAATAGTGTACATAATAGCTTATCTTAGAAATATAGACAGATACAATCAGGAGTTACTCTAGTGAAGTTAAAACCATTTTGCGTATCTGAAAGAAGACCCAGCGATGTGAGAGTCAACCGATTCAGAGTTAATTAGAGCATCTAGTACTTTACCAAAAAGAGGTAGAAATTTAATAGGCTGATGTGTTCTTAAAGACTGGAAATTCAGAAGAGAATTTCCAACAAGCATGTAAACAAGAAGCAGCAGGACATTGTAGACTTCAGAGACAGTAAGAACTATTGCAGGGATGCCATCAAGTTCACAGGCTTTGTAGGGATGTAGTTTAGAATTTATAGCAGAAAATATGGACGGAGTTATATGCATATGATTCAACAGAAACTCAGTTCTAAGTCAGGCAAAGGTACTCCAGATGAGTCAAGAGTAGAATTAGAAAAAAAATTACGAGCAAAACTTTCTGCTTTATTAACAGATGCTGACACCTCAAATTAAATGAAGAGAGAAGGGGTGGAAAACTTACACTTATTGCATTACCGCCAGTGTCCACAAGAACCGAACTTGTTAGAGGTTATACGATGCCTAATTCTTTCAGCAAACAAAGACTCTTTGTGGACACGTTTGCAATTATTTCTAGCAAGTACAAATAGTCGTGTGTTATGATCGGAATTATCACGCTGGTACACTCGGAAAAAGTAATTGCTATGGGCTATAGCGAATGATATTTTCGAGAAAGACCAAAGGCATCAGTGTGGGCTTTAACCGAAGAAGAAACCTCTGTGGCAAAATTCTTAATCGGAATGTTAAGAATATCAATGAAAGGGGCGTCTCGAATAAAGTCACGAAATAAATCCCAATCAATAGTATGAAGAATTTTTGTGAATAGGAAGTTTCTTTCTAACAGACGACAAAACAAATATCAATAGATACTACAACGTGATCCGAATAGCCAAGAGGGCAGTGTTGTGATGCTCTACAAGAAAAATGAAAGGTGGTAAGGAACATATCAATAAAGAAGAAATTTGAACAGATTTAATAGAGAAACGCGTAGGAAAATCCATTATTTGACTGAGAGTCTGAGAAATGGAGAGTGATGGCTTACAAATTTTTTTTCAGGATGATAACCCTGAAGTAAATGTTTGGAATAGTTGAAAAATTTGACTTGACAAACGAATTATTATTTCTAAGAACAGTCATACCTCAAATCAATGAAACAATGTTGGTAAAGTGTTTAGATAAGATTTGAACTTTGGTAAAGCCGTCCCTTTTTCTTGGGTTCAGACGAACATTCAAAGGATTCAAATCAGAACGTACTCAGAAAAAATATGCATTCAAGTCTAATCGAGAAGTTATCCATTATTTTGATCCACACTATTTAAATTATTCATGGCAGACTTCATTCAATAAAGAGCTTGATCTACTCAAAGAAGAGGGTTACAGATGATGTGTAAGATACGAATATAAAAAAGAGGTAACAAGAAGTGAAGAATGTGACTATAAGGAAGATAAAGATTGAAGCTTGATTTGAAGAAGTTAAAATTCTGGTGATCCGGGAAGAATCCAAGCGGGGGTCTGTTCAACAAATTAGAAGCTCTTGGAAAAAAAGAGGAACTATCAACCTACAATTGGAATTTAGAGGAAATTAAGGTTATTCGAAGTAGTATGGAGCTCATCTGAACATTTGGCATTGAAATAAGGATAGATTTTTGAAGTTGCGCCTGTTAGAATGAAGTTTCAGAACGGGAAATAATGTAGATCGACGGGATATGTAAATTAAAAATAAATAAATACATAAAATAAAAAAAAATAACTAAATTAATTAAACTGGAAGAAAATATTAATCAGGAATAGATAATAATCGTTGACAGTATTACATTTTGATAATTACATTTTGATAATTACATCATGTTTTTCATGAAATTCCAGAACTCAAATGGACGGCGTATGTACAATCCAAGACAGTCAACTGAGAGGAGGTTTCGCTGATAACTACAATTCAATTCGAGGCTCAAACAAGAGGATTAAGCTCTGATCAGTATAATTCAAGTCGAAGCGTAACCGAGAGCGCCTTTCTCTGATTACTGCATTTCAAGTCGTGTCTCAACCGTGAAGACATTTCTCTTATCACTACAATTTAATTCGGGGCACACCCGAGAGAGTTTTTCTCTGATTACTACATTTCGTGGCTTAACCGAGAAGACATTTCAATTATCACTACAATTTAATTCGGGCACAACCGAGAGGGCCTTTCTCTGATTAATACATTTCAAGTCGGGACTCAGCCAAGACGTTTTTCTTATCAATACAACTCAAGTCGAGGCTCAACTCAGTGGATATTTCTCTGGCCATTTCAATTGAAGTAGAGTATCAACCGAGTTGATATTTCTCTGATCACTGCAAT